CCCAACCTTCCTCCCACCGGGGGTGGAGATGCCATACTGCTTGAGTCAGGAATCCTGACTCTTTGTTGGAGTATGTTTGCGGATGCTTTTGGTTTGGTTCTGCCATGGGGCCTTGTATCTCCTGTTAGATTGCGCCTGTGGTAGCGGTCTGGAACCTCTTTGCTGACGGTTCGAAGAATTCCAAGTCTTGTGTTGGAAGTTACGTTTGTGGAAGTCTCGCCTGGGACGTCTACCTTGTGGTAGGAAGGCCCCTTTGCCGCCAGTGACTTCGGAAATTATTTGTGTCAATTCGGGACCAAAGAGTTGTGTTCCCGCAAATTTAAGTGATGTTAGTTTGTGTTTAGATGCAGTGTCGCCCGACCACTGACGTAGCCACATCGCCCTGCGAGCAGTAACTGAGGCTGCTGAGGCTTTTGCCGCAAGTTTTGCTGTGTCAATGGCCGCCTCGCCTAAAAATGAAAGGGCAGATTTGATTTTTTCTATTTCTTCAGTAAATTGGTCTGGTGAGGAAGGTGGATTCTTTAGTAACTCCTGACACCAAAATTTTGCCGTCTTGGCCACAGTGGTAGCTGCAGCTGCGGGTCTCAAAATGGCTGCTGAATTTTGGAAGTCGCGTCTAAGCGCAGAGTCTATCTTTTTGTCCATTGGATCTTTGAGATATCCAGCGTCTTCTGCTGGTAAGGTAGTGTTTCGTGCCAGTCTAACAATAGCTGGGTCTACCTTGGGAATCTTATCCCAGTGTTTATAATCCTCAGGTATGGGATACGTATTGAAAAACTTACTAGGAATAGTGTTTTTTCGCTCTGGCTGAAGCCATTCTGTTTCAATGTGTTTTGAAATAGCTTTACAGACTGGGAATGTTTTTGGTTTTTTTGATGTATTGCCCAATACTCTGTCTGCTTTGGATAGTGTCAACTGTTCTTCCTTAATATCCAGAGTGGCAAAGATATCTCTTAATATATTCTTAGTTGCGTCTGGCTGTCTGGTTGGCTCATCAGTATCACTAGATTGGTCATCAGA